TACACAAGTATTTAGGTGAAAGTACCAGCTCAGATTGTTTATTAATGTATTTTTCTTTGAAAAGCTCGTTTAATATTTCAACATTTAAGTCGTTTAATTAGGTTTTGACGACATGCATTCATTTTCTGTTAGAAAAACGAACAGAGGAAAAAGGCGAATAATCGATGTCAAACTAAAAGTTATTAAAAGATGGAATGTAAGGATGCTGTTGATTATTTTAGAAATAATTTTTTAAATGTGCAAAAATTATTTTACTAATTTTTTTAGTTTATGTACTGAAAAAAATCAAAAAGGGGGGATATTTGCAAATTTTTTGTTTAAAAAAAAGCATAAAAATATTGAAGAACATAGTTGAAAATTGACCCACAACTCATTGGCTCTGGCCAGCTCTGGCCATTATTTGGTATAGAACTCACAACTTTCATTTAGAAGATTTTGCTCAATAATGGAGCAAAAAGCAAAACCTTTAGAATTGGATTTACACCATTTTTGAACTGAAGAGAGATCAGAAACCTGCAAAATGAAAACATGAATAAACTCAAACGTTTCTATTAAAAGTATCAGTGTTACTGAACTTTACTCTGTTCTTTCACTTTTTAAAACCAAAGTTTGCATTTTTTTCATGTAAAACAGAAGCAGCAGACTTTTTTTTAGAGAAGTCTCCATGTTGCAGTATACACATAGCTTTTTTTTCTCCAAGTGTATGTTTTTGTCCACATAGTAACACAAACCAACACACCTCTCAGGGGTTTGCAATCAGCATGATTAACATCCAGTCACTTCCCAGAACGGACCAATCACAGACCAGCAGCACTCCAGGGATACTTTAAGGCTTTAAACAGCCACTTATGAAAAAACAAAACAAAAAAAAAACAAGACAATTTGATTGAAAACATACAAAGCATATCACCAAACTTCACTGGTAAACCTGTTTTAAAACCCAAGTTTAGTTAATCACATTTTTACGTCTGATTAAACATCTTCATGTAAAACTGTTACAAGAAGCTAGATTTGATATAAAGAAAACATTAGTTATGTATCACTGTACAATAAGATTCCCTTTATTAATGTTACTTAGTGCGTTATTAGGCATTAATAAACAATGGGTCCCTTTATTAACAGGTGTGTCTGCTTAGTAATGCATTACTTAATAAGGTTGAACAGTTGTACTTTATTTAATAGTTTAATAATGCTTAATAATGCACTAAGTAACACGAATAAACAGACTATTTTTGTTAAGTGTTACCAATAGTCAAATGGAAAATGTCAACTACAAGCCACTGATAGAAGTTTGTGGAGTGGAATAATAGTCTGCGCTCATTTTTACGACTGTGATTTTAGGAGTAGAGGCGCCACGCGGAGCTACGTTGTCTTAATGATCTTTGAATTTTAGGTGTGTTTTTAAATCGAGCGCATTTGCTTGAATAAAGTTGTGTCTTTGGAGGTGAAGCAAAGAGCTAAAACTGGAGGGAACACTCGCTGGTGGCTGTGGCAGGGTTGTGTACGGCAGCCAGAATCCACCCGGTAACTGACTCGTCAAAAACCGAGTACCTTTGTATTTTATCAGTTTTACTGACTCCTCCTTGAACCGTCACCTTATCGTGGTGGAGGAGTTTGAGTGCCCTAATGATCCTAGGAGCTATGTTGTCTGGGGCACTTAGTGCCCCTGGTAGGGTCTCCCATGACAAATTGGTCTTAGGTGAAGGGTGAGACAAAGAACGGTTCGAAGGATCTTTCATGGCGGTTAAAACGAAGAGTCGGAGTACCTGGCCCGGAGGGTTACCGGGGTCCCACACTGGAGCCAGGCCTGGGGTTGGGGCCCGTGAGCGAGCGCCTGGTGGCCGGGCTTTCGCCCATGGGGCCCCGGCCGGGCCCAGCCCGAACCGGATACATGGGCTCGTCCAACTGTGGACCCACCACCCGCAGGAGGAACATGAAGGGTCCGGTGCAATGCGAATCGGGTGGCAGACCAAGGCGGGAGCCTTGGCGGTCCAATCCCCGGACAAGAAAACTAGTTTTTGGGACATGGAACGTCACCTCGCTGGCGGGGAAGGAGCCGGAGCTTGTGGCAGAGGTTGAGCGGTACCGGCTAGATATAGTCGGACTCACCTCGACACATTGCATTGGCTCTGGAACCCGAGACCTGGAGAGGGGTTGGACACTCTACTTTGCTGGAGTTGCTCCGGGTGAGAGGCGGAGGGCTGGGGTTGGCTTTTTGTTAGCCCCGAGACTCTCTGCCTGTGTGTTGGGGTTTACCCCGGGGGACAAGAGGGTAGCTTCCTTGCGCCTTCGGGTCGGGGAACGGGTCCTGACTGTTGTTTGTGCTTATGGGCCAAATATCAGTTCAGAGTACCCACCCTTTTTGGAGTCCCTGGGACGAGTGCTAGATAGTGCTCCATCAGGGGACTCCATTGTCCTGCTGGGGGACTTCAATGCTCACGTGGGCAATGACAGCTTGACCTGGAGGGGTGTGATTGGGAGGAACGGCCCACCTAATCTGAACTCGAGCGGTGTTTTGTTATTGGACTTCTGTGCAAGCCGCAGTTTGGCCATAACGAACACCATGTTCGAACATAAGGATGCCCACCGGTACACTTGGTACCAGGGCAGCCTAGGTCACAGGTCGATGATAGATTTTGTAGTCGTATCATCTGACCTGCGGCCGTATGTTTTGGACACCCGAGTGAAGAGAGGGGCGGAGCTGTCAACTGATCACCACCTGGTGGTGAGTTGGATCAGATGGCAAGGGAACATGCCGCGTAGACCTGGCAGACCCAAACGCATAGTGAGGGTCTGCTGGGAACGCCTGGCAGAAGAACCTGTCAAGACGGTCTTCAACTCCCACCTCCGGCAGAGCTTTGACCACGTCCCGAGAGCAGTGGGGGACATTGAGTCCGAGTGGGCCTTGTTCCACTCTGCGATTGTCGAGGCGGCTGTTGCTAGCTGTGGTCGTAAGGTGGCCGGTGCCAGTCGTGGTGGCAACCCCCGTACCCGCTGGTGGACACCAGAGGTTCGGGGAGCCGTCAGGCTGAAGAAGGAGGCCTACAGGGCGTGGCTGGTCAGTGGGTCTCCGGAGGCAGCAGACAGGTACCGGATAGCCAAGCGGGGTGCAGCAGTGGCAGTTGCCGAGGCAAAATCTCGGGCGTGGGAGGAGTTTGGTGAGGCCATGGAGAAAGACTATCGATCGGCTCCAAAGAGGTTCTGGCAAACTGTCCGGCGCCTCAGGAGAGGAAGGCAGCAACTCGCTCACACTGTTTACAGTGGGGATGGGGAGCTGCTGACGTCAACTGAGGCTATAGTCGGACGGTGGAAGGAATACTTTGAGGAGCTCCTCAATCCCACCAATGCGCATTCCGAGGAGGAACCAGAGCTGGGAGGCCTGGGGATGGACTGTCCGATCTCGGGGGCAGAAGTTGCTGAGGTAGTCAAACAACTACACAGCGGCGGAGCCCCGGGGGCGGATGAGGTTCGTCCTGGGTATCTCAAGGCTATGGATGTTGTAGGGCTGTCATGGTTGACACGTCTCTACAACATTGCGTGGTCATCGGGGGCAGTTCCTAGGGAGTGGCAGACCGGGGTGGTGGTCCCCATCTTTAAGAAGGGTGACCTGAGGGTGTGTTCCAACTATAGGGGGATCACACTCCTCAGCCTCCCTGGAAAGGTCTACGCCAAGGTACTGGAGAGGAGGGTCCGATCGATAGTTGAATCTCAGATTGAGGAGGAGCAATGTGGTTTTCGTCCTGGCCGTGGAACTGTGGACCAGCTCTATACCCTTGCAAGGGTGATGGAGGGGGCATGGGAGTTTGCCCAACCAATCCACATGTGCTTTGTGGATTTGGAGAAGGCTTATGACCGTGTCCCCAGGGGCACCCTGTGGGGGATGCTCCAGGAGTATGGGGTGGGTGGCTTTCTGTTAAGGGCCATTCAGTCCCTTTACCAGAGGAGCGTGAGTTTGGTCCGCATAGCCGGTAGTAAGTCGGACCTGTTCCCAGTGAGGGTTGGACTCCGCCAGGGCTGCCCTTTGTCACCGGTTCTGTTCATCACTTTTATGGACAGAATTTCTAGACGCAGCCGTGGTGTGGAGTGTGTCGAGTTTGGTGGCAGGAGAATCTCGTCTCTGCTTTTTGCGGATGATGTGGTCCTCCTAGCTTCATCCAGCTCTGACCTTCAGCTCTTGCTGGGTAGGTTTGCGGCCGAATGTGAAGCGGCTGGGATGAGGATCAGCACCTCCAAATCTGAGACCATGGTTCTCGACCGGAAAAGGGTGGCTTGCCTCCTCCGGGTCGGGGGAGAGGTCCTACCTCAAGTGGAGGAGTTTAAGTATCTCGGGGTCTTGTTCACGAGTGAGGGTAGGAGGGATCGGGAGATCGACAGGCGGATTGGTTCGGCGTCTGCAGTGATGCGGACGCTGAGCCGATCTGTCGTGGGGAAGAGGGAGCTGAGCCAGAAAGCCAGGCTCTCGATTTACCGGTCGATCTACGTCCCAATCCTCACCTATGGTCATGAGCTTTGGGTAATGACCGAAAGAACGAGATCGCGGATACAAGCGGCCGAAATGAGTTTCCTCCGTAGGGTGGCCGGGCTCAGCCTTAGAGATAGGGTGAGGAGCTCGGACATTCGGGAGGGACTCGGAGTAGAACCGCTGCTCCTCCGGATCGAAAGGAGCCAGTTGAGGTGGTTTGGGCATCTGGTCAGGATGCCTCCTGGACGCCTCCCCGGGGAGGTGTTTCGGGCATGTCCTGCCGGCAGAAGGCCCCCGGGTCGACCCAGGACACGTTGGAGAGGTTACATCTCCAATCTGGTCCGGGAACGCCTTGGGGTCCTGCCGGAGGAGCTGGTGGACAAGGCCGGGGAGAGGACGGCCTGGAGCTCCCTAATTGGGATGCTGCCCCCGCGACCCGGACCCGGATAAGCGGAGGAAGACGAAGACGAAGACAGTTTTACTGAGCTGTACTTTTCTTTCTTCGCTACAATAATTCAGATTTTTTTTTGTCTCTCAGGAGCTCCTGACTTCATCCACAAACACAAACTTCATTCACCCACTGACACCCCTCCTTTCCCTCGGAGGAGAACCTCTGGAGGTGAGGGCCTTGTGTGTAAAGTGTTAGAAGTGTGTGTGTGTGTGTGTGTGTGTGTGTGTGTGTGTCACGCTGAGAGCAGGAGGTTAGGACCCAAATTGCAGAACACCAGATCACTCGAGGTAGGAGCAGTTGTTGAAAGTAAAATCCTTTATTTAGGATGATGGGTGAATATCCCAAGGGGCAGGAGGCCAAACCGAAAATCAGAAAAAAAACTGAACTACAAAAACAAAGCTCATTCATGAGCAAGACCCTGGAGTTCCTGAGGAGGACAGAACAACACTGACAAATACAATGGATCAACAAACACTGAGGGACAAGACAGGGTTTTTAAACACAGAGGGAAGCAATCAGGGGAACAGGTGACATCAATAAACTAAATGGGGAAGGAACAAGCAGCGGGGAAGATAAACCATAACCTTTAAAACACAGAATAACTAAACCTAAAGACTAAGGGCAAAGATAAACAACTAACGACTAGAGGGATGAGGAGGACTAAAGCTTGGTTTATGCTTGACACATTTACTTTCCGCTTGGTGATGCGGCTTGCGGATGGAACGTGCTTCACAACTTGCAGCGTTTATGGTTCATGCGGCTTGTCTCTGCGGTGAGCCAATATTCTCCCAAACTGTAGGGGGCAGCACGGAGCTCTACGGCATGCATCCAACACTACACCATAGTAGAAGTAAAAATTACTGTTGTTTATAACAGTTGTTAATGAAAGTTGAGAGCCAACTCAGCTCTTTTAGAATTGGTGGAGTGTTCTTGTTTCCACCAGGATCACCGCTTTTCCGTTTGTTCCCCTTCTTTGCCTTCACATATCGGTCCCTCATGTTTTTCCAGCATTTTTAACAGCATCCTCGTCTTTTCCGACAGTGCGAGCTATTTCTCTCCGAGAATTATTAACAACATGTTGATCACGGTGATCTTTGAGAGCTGAATCATACAAATTAAATCAAAATCAAATCAAATCAAATCACTTTTATTGTCACGTCACATGTGCAGGTACACTGGTACAGTACATGAGAGTGAAATTCTTGTGTGCGAGCTCCACAGCAACAGAATTGTGCAAAAATACAGTAATGTAAAAACAAGCAAAATATAAAAATGGCTAATCTAAGTAATAATATGTATAGTATGTAAGGTATATACATTACTAAATGTGTATGCTAGTATTTTTTTTTCTACGTGTGTGTAAATAAATGTCTGTATTTACGAACTCTGCCATAACTAGTTCTTGCCAGTCCGGATGTTTTTCCGTGTTCGACCGTTCGCGTGGTTAGAAAATTTCCTAGGTGCGCGGTGCAGAAAGTTTGGGCCGTGCGGAGGCGCGGTGGAGGGGCGTGGTTGTTAAAATGACGCAATTTTGCCGCGCGGAGCCGTGCGAACCTCGCGGACGCGTCAAGCATAAACCAACCAATCAAATAGGAACTACAAGGGAGTGACTAGGAGGAAACATGAGGGAAGCCTAGAGAGAGCTGGGGAACACAAGGAGACACATGAGGAGAACCTGGAGTGAGAACAGGAGGGGCCTGGGGACCAAAGGGACACAGAACATGACAGTGTGTGTGTGTGTGTGTGTGTGTGTGTGTGTGTGTGTGTGTGTGTGTGTGTGTGTGTGTGTGTGTGTGTGTGTGTGTGAGATTGTGTCTTCCTCCCCCAGCTGAAGCGGACACACAGTCTCCCCAGCTTCTGTTTCCCTCTACACTCCTGCTGCTGCTGCTGGAGTATTCATGCTCCGGGCTGTTTTCTTTGAGAGAGAGGCAGAGGAAGACGGAGTATAAAAACATGCAAATGCTTTTGTTGAAGCACGGAGAAGAGATGGGGGTAGTGATGGCGGTGCACCTCCTCACCTCCCCTGGCTGCCACCTCCATCCATCCAGTGCACACAGCCAGGATAGACTCTGAGGGGCAGGATATTAAAATATACAGACAAGTTTATTCACAAACCAACCGAATTTCCACCCCAAATTTACGAGGCTCTGACTGTAAACCATGTGGGACTAAACAGGTAGAGCGTTGAGATTCAGGCAGGAAACCACGATGTAATTGCGAGGCTACGCACACCCACGTACGGGCACAATAACATCGCTGTGCTGCCTTATGTCACCTTGTGCAGCAGAACCGGTCACATTGGTAGGCTTGCACTCCAGTGGCGTGTCCGGATCTTTTAAAATGGGGTGGCCCAGGTGAAGCACAACTTTGTGCATGGGTGGCCCCAATTGTTATGCCTTTTTTTTTTACCCCCAAGCCTTCTGTGGACAATGAAAAGCCTATTTGAAGGTAAATTACTGTGGCGACACCTGGGGTGTCCAATCAGATTCCAGGGGTGGCATGTGCTACCCCAGGCCACTCCCTGGACACGCCCCTGTTGCACTCTGATAAATCCCGTCCGCACGCAGAGCCCCCTCCCCCCCCGCATGAGCTCATCATTTCACCGGAGTGCTGCCCAGCTAATGATGTTAAACACACAACGACAATTCATATGCGCTTTAGCTCTTCATCTACAAAACAAATAAACACCGGAAAACAGTTTTTTGCAAACCAAAGCAATGACTGGCTTGTTTTGAATATTTATATGTATTTCAGAGATGTTTATTTCTTTAAAAGCTTGAGAACAAAAGTTTCATTTATTTAATGACAAAGTTTTAAAGGTGTTCTTCTTCATTTATTCAATATTCCAATATTTTCTAGTTTAAATCAGTTCCTTATGAGTCATTAAAAAAGCTTTATGCTTTTGTTCTGGGATGCTGAAGTTTGCTGGTGCAGAGGTGGGCTAAAAACAGCAGGATTACTCATTAATATTAATGATGTGCACACACCTTGCTTCTGATTGGCTAACAGAACACGTTCAGGCATGCTGCAGTCACTTTCACCAGCACACTCTCCGCTCTCTCTCGTCGCTGCCTAAAAAAAAAAGCCCTATCGTGGGCAGGCATGAGCCAAAATGGGCGGGGCCATGAATGCAAATTCACGGTGTGACATAGATGTGTGAGGATTTTCACATTTTAGCATTTCACACGCCATTTTGAATAATAATTCAATCCGCATGAAAAACTCATAGTGACCGATTCTAATCAGAAATAATAATTAAAAATGGGTTTTCAGTGTTTCACAACTTTAAAGTCAAATTCCCTCTAAAAGATGAAATGTTGAGTTAACTTAACCAAGGTATGTCAACTACTTCTAGTTAAACTTGCTTAAAGCTTCTCTCCGGAGTATTTCCCTTACCTGATGGCACCATCTATCACATGCTCAAAATAACTATCAGAGTTGATTTCAACACTTTTAAAGTGTCTATATGGGTCCACCCCCAGTAAGTGTTAATTTAACACTTTTTGGAGTGTTGGCACTTTAACTCTGATTTAGTGTTAAAAACCACCTCCTCTAGAGTTAAATATTTAACTCTAGAGGAGTTGGTTTTTAACACTGGGTTTTAACTCTCATGTCAGTGTTACATATCAACTATATAACTCGTTTTAGTGTTAAATTAACTATTCTTGGTGTTAAATTGGACCAACACCAGAAAATTAACACTTTTGAATTTGCTGTGTAGTGGCTGACAAGCATATCACTCAAAAAGTTTATTGCTTTGTTTGTTTAAGATGGCGACTTCACGTTTCTGTTTATAGATGTGCTTCTGTAGCTGACAAACAGCTAAAACACACTGTTTTACGCGTATTACTCTCATGTCATGTTGTGTTCTTATATATTTATATTTTAGAGACTTTCTTGTCCGTGAAAAATTCATCAGCTCTGCATCAGCCGAGGTATTCCTTAAATTTGAAGCAAGTAAGTGGTAGTCTAACGCTATTGGTTAGTTCTGGTTGCTGCTCAGTTTCCTATTTCACTGAGCTCTGTGGGGCAGGGGGTGTGTTTAGCAAAAAAAAAAAAATAGACATATTGCTTATGTTTTATCACAGTACATGATAAGATAATCACTTTTACTGATTTCTGACAAATCATACATAATTTCTGAAAGGGGAAAACTTCAAAAAGCAGCTTTAAATGTAATAAGTGAAATCCATTTACTGTTAACATAACAACTTTTAAACATATGATTTCTATTTACTGAAAAAGAAGGGAAGACTTATCATACACACGGTGTCAGATAACTAAGAGCTTAGGCATGGCTGCTCGGTGAATGAGAATGGGAGTTCATGTGATTCTCTTATTGGCTTGCAATGAAGGTGTCGCACACATAGTTTTAAATTTCTGCAGCGTTAGCTCCACTGTAGCTCATCACCACCAGTGTGTAAATGTGTGTGTGCATGTATGGATAACTGTGTTGTAAAGCGCCTTGGGGGGTTCTAGCACTCCAAAGAGTGCTATATCAAATACAGGCCATTTATATTTTAAACTATTTTTCTTTGCATTTTTGCAACACGTCAGACACATTTTGACTTATTTGCAGAAAAATGTGTCAACATAGTTGTTTTACTTTTTGAACCAAACGGTAAATAGTAATTGGTGAAATGGTATTGTAACTGATAACTTACACATATTGGTAAGTGGTAACTGATAAATGGTAAAAGGCCTGTGTTTGGTATAGCGCCTTCTAGAGTCCTTGAACCCCCCAAGGTGCTTTACAACACAATCAGTCACTCACCCATTCACACACACACATTCACACGCTGTGGGGATGGTGGGTGAGTAGTTAACTCCTGTGCCACCGTCGCAGATAACTACCATCCATCCATCAGTCCACCCATTTTCTATACCCGCTTTTCCACGCAGGGGTCATGGGGCTGGAGCCTGTCTCCAGCTGTCTCAAGGCAAACAGGCGGGGTACACCCTGGACAGAGTGCCAGTCCATCGCAGGGCAACACAGAGACACACAGGACAAACAACCATGCACACACAGACACATACACACACACACACACACACCTTAGGACAATCAACCTGAGTCATGTTTTTGGACTGTGGGCAGAAGCCGGAGTACCTATCAAATGGTAATAAATATAATGCTAACTAGTGCTAGCGTGTCGCCCTGGGACTGGGAGATCGGGGTTCAAATGCCAGTCGATTAAAAAAATGGGAACCAATGCATTTCTGCTTGATGCTCAGCTCGGGGGTCGGACTGGGGGGTTAATTTAATTTAAACGTGGGCACCTCTTGACTCTTTATTTTGGCAAAATCTCCCTTACATCTAGCTAAATGTACAATCAATGGATAAGTCTTTAGAAACAGAACCTAACTCAAAAATCTAACAAAACGCCACAAAATCCCAAGATGGTGAGAGAAAATCAGCCAGCACACACACACACACACACACACACACACACACACACACACACACACACACACACACACACACACACACACACACACACACACACGCACACGCGCACGCGCACGCGCACACGCACACACACACAAACACACACACACACACACACACACACACACACACACACACACACACACACACACACACACACGGTGGGTGAAGCCCATTTGTAAAGCCCTCACGCTCTTAGGAAGACTTTTTGAAGTGATTATGAAGACAGTTCAGATCAAAGGATTTGACGAGCAAGAGAGAGAGAGAGGGAGAGAGAGAGAGGATGAGTCTGGGTAATCACTCCATACAAGATGGCAGTGGTCCCCCCCCAGCTGCTTTGCAAATGTAATGTGACACTTACGGATAAACAGATTATGAAGTAGAGGCGGGGCGAGCCGGGCGAAGGGGGACCAAAGAGAAACGACTACAAGTTGTAGAAATTAGAGCGGCAGAAATAGTTTATTTAATGAACTCTGGGGATGGGCAGTGTCAGAGAAATGATGATTAATTCTCCGATGCTGATACAGGTCTAAATGATATAATTTGGGAATATTAGCAGGAACATTAGATGATGATGCAGTGCTTCTTGTGCGGGTAGACTTGGGGGCTCGTGAGGATGATTTTCCTTCTCTTTTCTCTTCTCCTTCACTAGTTATTATAGATTAATCCATAATCCTCAGCACCTAAAGACATTTTTTTCAGTGAAGCTCAGTGATGGAAGCTGTAGATATTTGGAATATATCTCTGCTCCTGCTTATTTCCCCTCAGCATGATGTCACATTGTCACATCTTCCTCTGTAAATACTTCTCAAATATAAACGTCGGAGCGAGACTCATCGGTGTATGTAACCAGAAATTCACTGTGTTTACTGCTCCTTATTTCATCCTACCTGGAGTCATGCAGCGTTTAGTGTTTCTAGGGGTTTGTGTAACCATACTTTTCTGTACTTGAAGGAATTTACTGTCTTTAAAGTGCACAGAATAATTTTGTTTCTGTTTCTGTTCTGTCTCCACAGAGCCAAACGCCAACGGAACAAAGTAAGACGTGAATGTGATTCACTGAGAAACAATTCTACAAATGTGAGACAACATTCCCATTTCATTACATATTTAAAGGGATTTTCAGCCATTTTTGATGTGCACATCGATGTGAAAGCTGCAAACAATTATTATCCTGCTTGTAAATAGCTGCCTGAATGGTCTCTGCTCGAAGGATTGATAAGCTAACAGCTAGTCTGAGGAACTCTAAGACCATCAAAATGCCATTTATTGCAGGGCAAATCACACATTATTTTATTGTCCGAGTATTTACAAGTGTAAATTATCACCATCATCAGCAAAATGTAGCAGTAAATCCAGGGGTCAGGCCCAGCAGGATGTTTTAAGTATTCCCGCCAAAATAACAGTAGAAATTTAAATTGATGGTAGTGCAAAGATTTATGCATGAACAGCAGTGAAACTTTGGGAATCTAATTTTTTCTAACACAGCAAAGATTTTCCATTAAAACAGAACTCTGGATTTTTTTGTCAGAGGACACCATCTAGAGGTAGGAAAATGTATTGCATATTAAGCCCTTCTCCCTTTACGCCCGTGATTACGACTGAAAACATTCATGAACACTTGCCTCTATAGCCATGCAACAAAGCTAAGACTCATAGTTTTAAAATTATTTCTCTTACGGTATGCTGTACATTCATATATATATATATATATATATATATATATATATATATATATATATTAGGGCCGGGACTTTAACACAATAAATATGATTAATTAATTAGAAAAAAATGACCCGTAAAAAAAAATTAACGAATTTAATCACAACTTGCATTTTGAGCACGGCGGAACCTTTGTCATTGCACGATTTCCTCGTAGATTGAACATCACTGACGCACACAACAATGCACAGTGCTAATGGCTACTAAACGGAATAAAAACAGAAAGAAGTTGCCTTGCTTGGACTGATGCAAGATTTAGGAAACACGTCCCTCTTTTTTCTTAACTTGGAAAAAAAAAAACTTCCAGACAACAACGGAGTCCGTATCGCGGACATTTTTCAGAGATCGTCTCTGCTGCAGCTGCCTGATGGCACCAGAAACTTTACAAAAGTTGCAGTAAGCTATATTTTAAACATTTACGTAACATCTGTGCAGCGCTGAAAGCACCAGACAGAATAATTCTTTGCCCTAACAGTAGTTTATGAAAGTACTCAGACAAACGAGAGGCACCTGGCTGCAGCTGGGAGAACGCTCCGTGTTCTCACTACTCTGTAAACAATCACAGACAACATGTCTTATAGTTGAAAACAGAAGTTTAAGTTAAAATATAAACACTCTAAAAATGTGATTGATTTAGATTAATTAATCACAAAGCCTCTAATTAATTAGATTAAATTTTTTAATCGAGTCACGGCCCTAATGTATGTGTTAACTCATTCACTGTCAGCCGTTTCCTGATCAGTAAAGCCATTCGCTGCCAGCGTTTTCCAGTGCTTTTACTGTTTTTTTAAGAGTCACAGAACGTTGAGCGCTAGGATGATGTTAACGCAAAAACTAACAAAACAAAGAGAAGAATCCGTGTGTTTCGAGCGTTATCCATTCTTCCATAATCCGTTGTCGAATTGTGATCGGCAGAAGCTTTTTCCAGTTTGCACCTCACTTTTTTAACAGCAGCGGCCCAAAATTATCTTCTAACGTGACATGGATGAAGATCAGCTTTAGAGCTGGGATGTTTATTCTCACGGTGCGGGGCTCGTTCCGACACCCACACAGTAAAAAAAAAAAAAACACAAACACAGTGAAGAAGTTAAAGACTTACTTGCTCTAGGTACATCCTCAAACGCTTGTGCACGCTCCATGATTGACATCTGTACATAAGCGGATCTCTAACGCTATTGGCTAATGCTGAGCAGTGCTCAAATCAAATTGCAAGGGGCTCTTTGGGACGGGGGCAGGCTTAGCAAAAAATAATTTATGTATTGCCTACATTATATCATACTACAAGCTAGCCAGAGAAGGTGAGAGAAGAAAGATGGGTTGAGAGAGAGAGAAGTAAAAGAAGCAATCTATGTGAAATGGGAAAGACCTACATTAAACAGAGGAGGAGGCCTGAGGTTTCCAGCACCTAAAATGCAGCTCTAAATCTAATTTCAAAACTGTTTCAGTCTAGGTCACACCCTTCTGCATTTTAACAACCATTATAACACAATAGGTCATAATGACATCAACGACTCATCAGAGGTTTGAGAGGAGGGGTATTCATAGTTAGTTTCAGCTCTTTAAGCAACAATAGACAGTTACAGATTATAAGCTCCACTTTCCCATATTCCAGTCAAAATTGACAAAGCTCCTCAGATAAGAAGCGAAACATCTTCAAGAAACCAAAGAAGTCCAGTTACCTTCATTTGAACCCTTTGGATTACTTGCGAAGACCATCATGTTTATTGATTTCTAAAACCCGGAAAGCGCATTTAATTGATTCTGTGTATGAAATCTGCTATATAAATAAAGTTGCCTTGTCTTGCCAAAAAAAAAAAAATCATACAAATAGGAAAAATGATTGCTGCTTTAATTTAGGACCCATCATCAACAAAGGTAAATACGACTATCATCGGCAAAAGGGATCCAGGAATCATGCCCGGCAGGAGTTCAAATGATCGATTTCTACCAAAAAAACTACACCCTACAGTTTTAAGATGGCGGCAATTGAGTTTTTAAGAAACCCACTTCCAAAAACCATTGCTGCCGTTTGAATGTAAGCTCCACAGTCGTTCATAGAATACCTTTTAATAAACTTTTCTGTCGCTTTTGGTTTAGCATGCAGTTATTTTAGCAATGACATTAAGACATTCCTGTCAGACTCGACCAGCTGTGTCAAAGCTGGTTAAACATTCAACTTCCAATGAACCTTTGTAGACTGGTGCCATTTATGAAAACAAGCATTTCACTAGCTGTTAGCTCATCAGTCACACATCATTATCTGAATGGGGTCATTAAAAGAAGCTATCTACAGTGGGTAAAATCATAAAATTCCTTTACAGCTGTTTTATTGTTGTTCAGAGGCAAGAGCTTGAATTTTGTACCGTGTTTTAAAAAATATGCAATAAATACAGATCATCAGAAGCTAATTTTCCTGTTTTGTCCTTGAGTTTCTCATTGAAGTGAGCCTGAAGTGCCTCCAGTCGGGAGAGGTGGCTTCTCCGTCCACGTGGGTTCTGAACAACCCTCGTGTCTGGGACAAACGTCTCTTTGATGCTGCAGAGACAGATGGACAAACGAGGGCGGGTGGGGGGCACTCGGAGACAAACACAGAGGACTGAGGCTTCAGTGTGACCTAAACCCCCTTTCATCTTTGCACTCCATCCGCTTCCTTCACAAACAAATCAGTTCGTTTAATGAAGATTTGCTGGAGGTGCCGTTGGAAGCAAAGTCATCCTCCCCCCTTAACTACTGTCAAACATTGCCTGTAAATATTTTTGGTTGGGTTTATTTGCAAGCAAAGATGCCAGAAAGCTGACAAGACTGGTGAGACAAGAGGTAGAGGCACAAAAAGAAACCCCACAGAGCTGATAAAAATATCTCACCCCAAAACAAGAAAGAAGAGGGAAGAAAAGACAAGTTCAGCAGCAGGAATACGGGTGAGTTTGTGAGAGAAAACAAAAGTAAAAAAAAAAAAAAGCCAAAAAGCTTGTTTCTGCATTTAAAACACATAATGAAAAAAGTGTGTCACCACAAGTCATTTAATAGATGTCAATCAATAATAAGTCAATGCATTGAACACCCCGCCATGTCCTAAGCGCAGCTGAAACTTCTTCACTGGTTTGATGTGTCAACTGCAGATGCCGGCTTGATTGGCCACTGCTCAGGGCAGGCGGCTATTGATTGGGTGGTCATTAGGAGAGCGCGGCCCGCCGGGAGTATCGGGGGCTGACACGGTTAACACCAAGCTCTTTAACGAACGACCGGCGGCCGAGCGGGACCCGGTCATTGACCCGGTTGCTCCCTTCCTGCCAGGCTGGAGTGTGAGTAAAGGCCTGCGATGTGTGCCGGTATCGATCCAAGGGTGAGACGCTGAAACCACGCTGGGGAAACTGTCGAAGTCTGAAGAAAAGAGATCTTCAGCTGCGAGAGAAGAACAAGTGGAAGTATTTTTAATTTTACTAAATATTAATAAAAAAAACACAATGCCTGAAATGAACACAAATGGCAACAAAAAAGTGATGGTCCTTGAGTTATGCTTTGATTCACACCTCAAGAATGATTCAGTTTTATTTGGAACGTAAAATATGAAAAGAATGGAGCATTTTCTAAAATATGCTGCTACATCTGCTGTGCTAGGTACAAAAAAGACCTAGATCACTGTAACCTTTGGTTGGCAGGCTTTACGGTTCTTGTTTGTTGGATCAAAAATAAGGAATATTCATAATATTCTGGATGTTCAGGCTGTAAATGGATATTTACAATAAAATAACTTGGCTCAGGTTCATTTAGTCAGTTTGGCACACTGTATATGTATTCCACAAACAACGATATTTTTGATTTGGCCCATCAGCCACATCAAATATATCATATACGGCACCAGAAATGATTCTTTCATCAACTCTGATCAAGGTGCAAAATCTGTGGTGTCAGCTTCTGCTTGTGGAAGTAAACAACCACGGATTTAGGTTTAGCAACGTCACTGCCTGCAAATAAAAACTCCCTGACGTCACACGTGCAACCTTTTTTCAAGCTTATTACCGCTCTACAAGATCACAGGTGAAGGACGTTGTTAAAGGTGTGGGAAACTAATTTAAGCAATACATTTGCAGTGGTCACTGGTAGGAATGAACGCCTTGAAAGCCGTACTCGGGGTTAGAAAAGCCCACAAGCAGAGAGTGGTACAACACGGCAGGATTGGGAGTGTTATTTCCTGATCGTTGGCCATCTCGCCTCTCATTGGATAAAAGCAACATGACTTTACAACAGACTTAAAATGTTGATGTTTTATCTCTACAAATAACACGAGCCTGAAGGAGTTCTGCTGTGTGGTGGAGTAGCTAAGGCTAATGGTTAGCTTCTATCTCGAGACGTTCTCTGCTGTTTCCTGGACGCTAAACCAACAACAGCCTTTCACATTGTGAGTAAACTTGGGTGGGTCCATGCATGTTAGTGACAGTGTGACGTAGACCTGTCAGGATTTTCTAATCCTTGAGTTTCACCATCTGTTTTCTATCAGAAGCTAATGCAGGAGATTGGCGTAGGAGACTATTTTCATGTTCAGCCTGCATGAAAAACTTAACCTCACTGATCATGATCAGGCGTAATCATTAAAACATGTTTTTTTTCAGTGTTCCACACACTTGAGACGTCTTCTTAGTGAAAGCTGGCAGAGGTACAAGTCAACAAAGGTGGATTGGTTTAGCGTTGCTGTGCCTTCAGGGACTCCTGCACATAAATCTGCGAGGGGATGTAAAACGAGTCTGCTGGTAGAGAAAAAGAACGGAAGGCAAGAAAAGGTTTCTGGTTTAAAACAACTCTATCCATTTCACAGAAACATCATTATCAGATTAGTTAGAGAAAGGGATTAGGGCTCAGCCTGAGCTAATTCGACTGTTGTTTAGAAGTGTTTAAAGGATAAATCTGGTTTAATCTGATGGATGAAACAAACAGAATGAAATCTGATCACAAATGAGCCGTCAGAGCCGGGGAAATATTCCAGGAGAGGAACAACAACAAAAAAAGACAAATAACTGCACAATGAAGCCAGCCCGCGATGTCTGTGTGTGACACTGTGTGTGTGTGTGTCAGTTGAGTGTGTGAATAAGAGAGCAGCAGACTGTGATCAGAAAGTGAATGAGCCATTTCACCGGGTGCACTTCTCGCCTGTTTCTCCCTCTGTCTGAAGGGAAGTTGCGGACGGTGGTGGAAATGAGCTTGGCCATGCGGAGAGTGTGGCGACCTCGTGGCCAACCCCGCACTGTTCGCACCACTCTCCACACTAAATGATTTCTACTGTATCCCCCCAGAAGGAGGAGGAGGAGGAGGAGGAGGAGGAGGAGGAGGAGGAGGAGGAGGAGGAGGCCAGACAGGAATCATCCCTGCTTGTTCCCACCAGCCTCTCTGGGCCACTCACAATGTTCAGTTTACAAATTATCTGTAAAACAAGATTTTGTTGAAAGTGTTGATCAAATTCTAGCAAATTGTTATTGAGTCATCCCACATTTTTATAATTATATTTTGCCGCCATGGAGCCTTGTAATCATCCTAACAGGTTCACCAGAGTTTCTGAACGCCTTTTAAAGAGACAACGTGTGTTTTTACTGCTAATCTCCGGAAATATCCTATGAGACACTGTTGAAAATGAATAAAATGATGTCAAGTTGTTGAAAAATATTGGCGGCTTCATACCATATAACCATAAAAATCAGGTCTAAAGTACACAGAGCGCAGGTTTAGTCATCTTTGGGCAACATTCTCACACCCAAGGCACCAAAATATGACGCGTGTGACCAAGCCTCAATATATGACGATTCGGGATGCCCCAGCGCGTCAGGAGACGACAATCAGGGTCACGTTTGGTCACGTGGCTCCGCTGGCGTCACTGTTTGACGCGCGCGGTCACATGGACATTATTCGACTATTTAACCTTCCCCTCACCTCAATCCTAACCTTAAGGCCCATAAACTGTGACCTTAAGGTTAGGATTGGGGTGAGGGGAAGGTTAAGTAGTTCACAAGTAGTTCTAATGTCCATCTCACCACCGGCGTCAGATACCGACGCTCTGGGACGCTGCGTCAGCAGTTCATCCTTGATCATCGTCTCCTGACGCGCTGGGGCGTCCCAAATTGTCATATATTGAGGCTTGGTCACACGCGCCATATTTTGATGCCTTGGGTGACGCCATGTTTCCTTCTGGCCGACTCAGGGTCCTGCACCTGTTGATGACATGACACTAGATTATTGGTTGAGCGTACAACTTTCGGAAGTTATGTTACCACGTTCAAAAACATTTAGGCAGTCAGAAAAATTAACTTCATAACAAAACTGCTAAAGTCTTTCCAAAACATCTGTGAACGAACAGAATCAAAAAGGGATGCAAAGTACTTTGGCCAAGCAGTATTGCCGTAGTATGATGACATCATCGGCAGGCGCAGGACCCCGATCAGATCCAGAAACTACAGCACCATAAAACTACAATCGGCAGTGCATTTTCTCGATGGAATTAACAAAAGGACCATCAAAGTCTGAGGAGTCACGCTGAGGTCGCAGCTTTCTGCTCCACAGGTAACATTTACCGTAACATTTCTTTAAACTAGCGACAATTTGGTGTAAAACCCTAAAATGTATCATCAGACTGCCCCGTCATCAGGAAACTACATACTACCACTTTAAAGCTCTTTATTGGACCAAGAGTGCTTTTCCCGTTGATTTTTTGTTTTTACATACCTGATCATGTCAGCATGTTATGTAAAAGAAAAAAAAACTAGATAAATGTTGAAGTTTTATGGCTACGAAACAGCAATCCACATCAAAGGATCCTTGAATGAAATTCATGTCTTTAACATAAAGTTATTCTTCCCTGATCTTCAGTAATCTTAAGAAATCACCTTATTGAGCTGAGTTGTTATTATTTTCTAACTACACATTCTACTCAAATAAAAAAGTTTGACAAATATTGACCAATTTAGCCAAATACTCACATAGTAATTCAAGGTTGGTTGGCTCAATCTATGGACTAGTAGCCAAAGTCTAAAAGAATCCTTTGAAAGACCTTCAGATTAAAATGTGTGTTGTTCTCTCCTTGACTCTCCTTCACCCTGGACATGGCAACTTCATGTATTTTCTTGGTTCTTGGTTGGCCTTTCACCTCTCATCCTTCTTTATATTCAGACCATTGTTCTGCAGTTCCAAATTCAAAAGTTGTCATGCACTCTGCAATGACGATGAGTCTGGAAATGCCAAACCAGGATCAGAATCAGAAGAAACATTTTGAATCAGAAGAAAAATGTCTTCAAATAAGAGAACGACTCCAGTTGGGGTATTATAAGTCTTTATCTTTGAGACCGTCTCGTCTCGTTGTCGTCCGGGTTGCGGGGACAGCATCCCAACTAGGGAGTTCCAGACCAGCTCCTCCAGTAGGACCCCA